TTCCAAACTCTATCCCTAATGGTTGGAGCAGACATAGAACCTGACCCTCTGATTGCACTTTTCGGCACTACAGGCGATAATGTTGAGCACCTGTCCCCAGGAAAACGCCAAATTCTGTCTTTTGCCTCGCTTTTGGCCAGGCGTGCAATATTGCTGAGGTGGGTAGATGCTGCTCCGCCCACCCATACCCAATGGTTGCGAGATATCATGGCTTGTTTAGCTTTGGAAAAAATATACTACTCAGCTCTCAAACCAAAAGAGAGGTTTTTAACGGTGTGGGGACCTTTTATGGAACACTTTCACAACTCCCAAACTAGTTAGGGAGAAGACTTTATATCTCCTCGGGCCATCCTTGATTGGCTAGCGTACGGGCTCATAGTCTACATGTACGGTTGCTCTTCTATCTTGTTTTGCCCCTCTTTCCGCTCAGGTCGAGACCTGACTTCCGGCTGTTTTACATCTTACTCCAGGAATGAATACTAATTGGGCTAATTGACCTGCTGGGTTCTTTTTTTGGGGGGGGGAGGTTCTTTTCTTCGGGTAATGTTTGCATTTCTCTTTTCACTGTACCCAGACAGGTTTACTCTTCCTGAACGGAATAGACCTCTTGCCAATGTTAGATGCCTGTCGTTCACATTATGGTATCTGTTTCTTTGTTCAAAAAATTAATAAAAATATTTCTGAGAGAAAAAAAAAAACATGATGCTGTCTGCAAATCAGACAGTTAAAGATTTTATGGGAATGAAGCTGAGGCCATAAAGTAAATAACCAATTAAACTTCAAATCTGGCTTGGGCAGCATGGACTGTTCATCTCCCTGCCCTCTCGCCGGAGGTTCAGAAGTGTGAAATGCAGGACCTCTAGACTGAAAAACTCTTTCTTTCCCTCTGCCATCAGACTCCTAAACAGCTGAGGAGTTTATTACCAGGAAATATATGATGTACTGTTTACATTCTCAGTTTGCACATGCATAATTCCACAATGTCTGTTGACTGCTGCACATGCTGCTCCCATGCAGCATACATTCTCTATTATATTCTTTTATTATATTGCTGCATTTGTTGCTGCATAAAGTGTCCTAGATTTTGTGTTACTTATTTGTGTTACATGCATAATTGCACAATGACTCTGCTGCACATGCTGCTCCCATGCAGCATACATTCTGTTATATTCTTATATATTTTTTATTATATTGCTGCATCTGTTGCTGCTTAAAATGCCTTAGATTTTGTGTTATTTATCTACTTTATATTTCATTAGTATTTTGTGGCATTCATGTGGACAGCAAAGTAAGCAAGTATTGTACAGGGAAACACGTTTCCAAACTGTGTATATGACACTTTGAACTTGAATATATGGCTATAAACAATATAAAAACAGACCCTGAATTTTACTAAATTTTTTCCAAGTCACTGCATGTAATCTGTTAAGAGAAACAAAAGATAACATTTTCGGAATGTGAAGCATTAAAACCTGGTTTAATGAACTTTGAACTGTACTAGATGCTGATAATAGGGGATTTGAAGTGCCACACAACACAGGAACAATCTGAGTTACAGACAATCACAGTATTATCATTGTAGTGGTTGTAATTTTGACCTCAGTCAAAATGAATGTTTCTAGTCGTGAAGAAAAATAGAGGAATGATGGTGAGAGAGCTGAAAGGAGGAATAGTGGGATGTTTGTGACAAAGTTTTGAAGACACGTTCTCATTTGAATACTACCATGAATGAGGTGCTTCCCTAGGGTCCCTCGTTCACTTTGTCTTTCTTCTACCTCTCCTCTTAAACTCCTGATATATTGTTCATTTCTGCCACTGTGACATCACTGTCGTACTCACTACCCCTCTGCTGCTCATCTTTCATAAGGCGCAGCAGGAAGCTGGTCAGATTTGATTAAATGACATTAAATTCTGCAGCTATTTCACTTGAATATAGGGGTATTAGACTGTCATTGTGCTAGCAATCACTATGTGCCATTTGCCTACAAATGTTAGACCATGACGCAAGTGGTTTTGCACTTTACTGTTCCTGTTTACTTTTCCTCTGTAGTTAACTGGGGGAGACTAAATCTACATGCTAAAAATAGCGACACTGAGAGCTTTGATGATTATATGCTGAGCTGCAACTGCATTCAAAAGTAAACAATGCAAGTCACCAACATGCACACTGAGGACTGCGTCAGTTGGCCAGCTTCATGGTTCAAGGGTCAAAATCTCTGGTTGTCTATGTTAGTGTGTTTCCAAAACCTATAGAGATGCACATTATGATACTATTAAAGCAGGATTTGTCTTTTGTCATACCTCCTGTAGCATTGATAGAATATCATCCTTCTTTTTCTGAAGCTGCAGAAGAAGAGAAACAGTGAGTAAGCTTCATTTGGGAATAAACAGGAAAAAGAGTCGTGCTAGCAGCAGGCAAGTTTACCTGAACTATCTTAGTTTAGCATTTTGATATACTAGAGTCACTTTCAGCTTTTCCTGTTTTAGGGGTCGCTGCATGTTGACATTTGGCACGTGTTTTACGCTGGATGCCCTTCCTGACGAAACCCTGACTCGAACCCGGGCTGCAGCGGCGAGAGCGCTGCACCTTAACCACTAGCCTACCAGGGACGGCTAGCATTTTGATATAGTAACATTTGATAGTACTCTATGCAAAATGTAGCTGAGACTGATGATGTGTTTAGTTTAGCAGAAATTTGGTCAAAAACCAAATTGTTGGGCAAATTCAAATTTGACCTAATGATAATGTTGGAACTCACCAAAGTGACTGACAGTTCATCACGAGGCAAATATGAATGTTAACTTTGTACCTAATTTAAAGGCAATCCGCCCAGTTTGTGAGACATTACATTCAGCACCACATATTCCAACCTTACAGTGACTAGAGGGAAAATCAGGGTATCAGCAAAGTCAATAGGATTTAACATCTTGCAACCTTGAATGTCTCCACAAAATGTTATGTCAATGCAAGCAACAGTTGCTGGGGTATTTCAGTGTCGACCAACCAACAACCCAGCACAGCCATCCACAAAAAAAATGTGTTCTTACCCTCTTTTTATAGTAAATCCTCCATTTGTGGTACTCCTTGATCACCACTTCTATCCTTTGCTTCCAGTAGCTGCCCTCTAATACAATCGCCTATTGATATAAAGCAGATGTACAATACCAACCCTGAGACTTGGTCTACCAAACAAGTCACACATACATTCAACCTCAGCAATCTACAATACAAAAATCAAAACTCAGCAATACAAACAGTGTCAGTGAATCTGTAATAACATGTATTTTAGAACCCCAGCTTGTAGTTCTATAAACCAATTATAAATCATTTTAAAAATTCACAAATCACTCACTTCAGGCTTTCGATGCATGTCGGCCTCAGAGCCCTCCAGCGGGGTGACAAACCCACACACTGGTTTTTTCTTCTTCTCCACATCTAAACACAGCAATTTCAGAGCAACAAAATCCACATGCACATTTATGTCTGTTTGTTTAGAAAAACATTATTATCTACTGTTTTATTTGCCATGGTGGCTTATTTCAGCCAGCTAGATAAAGTCAATCCTATTCACTTTCTAATTAATGATGGCTAACATTTGTTTTTTGAAATTCCAGTTTCTGTTGCATTTTGTAGTAATGTCATTCTTTATCATGAGTGGAGAGATGTGAGTGAGTGATGGACTCACATTGAATGAACCAAGCTCTCCAGATCACATTGTTCAGACGGATCTTATCTCTCCACAGCAGTCGCAGACCCTTGAAAGACTTCCACTTTGGTGAGACTATCTTGCCACTGTAAAAGAGAAAGAAATTATAGTTTTGGAGTTGTTTTGTGACATTCTAAAAATATATGGAAAATGGGTAGGGTTAAATGCACCACTTTTTATGTTAGGAACAGTAAAAGAGAAAGTGCACAGAGAAATGACTAGATACTCTTAAGAAAAAAAAAACAGGATGCAATGGGAAAATGAATCAGTAGCCTCACTGCCACCCCTGCTGGAAACCTGTCCTGATTTTGACTAATAGTGTCCAAACTGCACTGCCAGGTTGTTTGTCTAGTTGTTTTGCATGCTTTTCCAGTGTCCCTCAGCCTGCTGAGTGCTGAGAAGAGGGCTCCTAGTGTGAGGTGCTCAGGGAGTTGCTGGGAAGCCAGGAGGACATTTTCAAAATGCTTTTAATGGAGTGACATCGCTGCATGTCACACACGCCAAAACTGAAGAGAAAACATGTTACAGAAAGGGAAGAAGAACTAATGAACACCAGTATGGATAAAGACAAACAGCTTTGGCACAAATACTCTGCCAGCTCCAGGTGTACAGTTCAGTGCATGTAAAGCACTTACTGCTTACAGTATTTTTATGTATTTAAAGTTTTTTTTTATGTCCTCAACATAACACTCCTTAAGGTGAATGTCAATTTTGTGGTCTGTTTTTACTGATAAACATCTTTGGCTCTGGGTTTATTGTGCAACTGTCATCAAGCTGTAAAAAAATATCAAATTGGCACAGAGTGACTGGTGGAGAAAATATCCTCTTTGGGCCAAAGGTTGGTATCAACTCTTTAGAGCAAGTTGGTAATGGAGCAGTGACATTTAGCCAAGCCTGAAGAGAACGGTGCTCCGGTAAGAGCGGGTGCTTTCTTTGCATGTTACGTTTTTGTCACAACAACAAAAGTGTCACACCATAAACTCAGTTTACAATGTTTCTGTGTAATACCGTAATAGCATAATAAAGGCATAATATAAAATAAGCTTGGTGTAAAATCATAGCAAAAAGCTAAGTTTCCAGGGACATCTCTGCAGGATCGTTTCTCCTTGCCCTCAGTTACACTGTAATCTCTTCAGTGCTGCCAAATAGAATCAAAGTCCAATTTTCACTGAGGTTTTTTTCTAAGCTCTTGCACAAGAGACTGCAAAATAGAACTTCCAACACATCCACAAACGGCAACTTTACCTAGACAGTTTTTAAATTGAAATCCGATGGGGTAAAAAAACATATAAACCATCGGTTGAGGCAGAAGGCTGCTCACCTGGAGCCGGGGTCTGTCGGAGCTATCTCCCGTTAAAGGGCGTTTTACCTCCCCACTCCTGCCAAGTGCTTGCTCACGGGGGATTTGTTGGGTTTTTGCTCTATAATATTAAACTTTATTTTGTAAAATATTCTGAGATTACTTTTGTTGTGATTTGGCGCTACACAAATAAAACGGAATTGAATATACAAGAGGTGAAATTAAAAGGGGAGACAGCATAGTTTTTTAGCCTATTTTCTACAGGTTTATTAAACAATTTGTTGTGAAGCACCCACTTTATTTACTTAAACGTCTATTCCTGCTATTGCAAAGGACAAGCAGAGCTGATTTAACGGGGATGTAGCCTAAGTAAACTGAGCTGAGGTATGTGGCATATTGTTCCTGAGTAGACAGTAGAGACGCACCTGTAGGCCAGGGACATGCACTCAAACAGCCGGGTCAGAGTTGGGTCGATGCTCAGGCTCCCAGAGCTGAACGGGCCGTACCGGTACGTCTGGCACCACATCCGGTTCACCGTGTCGAAGTCGTACCTCAGAGATGTGCCGCTTTTCCTCCTGCGCGACGTAGAGTCGCTGTGCGGCGACGACACCATGAAGTGCCCGCTGTGGATTACCTGTGTGCAGGCGAAGGAAGCGGGGAACGGTCCGGTACTGGCCACCCGAACAGGTTCCCCCTCCGGTTCAGAGTCTGAGTCTGAGGAGTCCTGAAACTGGCTCTCTCTGTCCGCCATGACGCGTTTTCATGGACTTATTGTCCAAACAGTGAACTTTCTCCTCAACTGATCCTCCTCCTTCAGATATTTCTCCAAGCAAGCGCCACTTGCAGCGAGGCACCTCATCTAACAGCTGAGAGCAAGCGCACCTCCCGGGCGCCAGAGTTGTGCAAGAGCACAGGGTAATTATTAATAGAGCAACCCTAATGGAAAACAATTAATACTTACAAATAAATAATGCATTCACGTTTAGCGGAATGTCTTTTAAGGTTGGATTGTTTTAGCTTCCAGTGATGAATATGCACAGTGTCAATGTAACTCTTAGAGAGTTGAATTTAACTCCGTTTCATATAACATTGGTCCCACTCGAAATTAGAGTCAAATTTACTCTATGGCCAGTGTCAACTTTTCAGAGTTAATTCTACTCAATTCAGTGTAAAAATTAACAATGAAATGTGTAAAAACATTTAACACTGGGTTTTTTCACAGTGACTCTCTGTGTTTGACCTAGGATTACCGTTTCTTGACCACCGTGTTTTGTCTATGCCCTCTCAGATTCTGATCGCCTGCTGTGTACCGACCTTCTGCTTTTGTTCCCATTGACCTCGAGTTTGGATCCCCTGGATATACCTGTTAACCGGCGCCGACCCTGGACTGTCTTATCGACCTAAGTGAGATCCTGGACTTTTTGTTAGTTTTGTTTACCAGTAAAGAACTTTTCGTTACCTCAGTTCGTCTGGTCATTTAATTGAGTTCACCACATCCTCTGTTTGGCATTTGTACACGCCAAACGTGACATTTGTATGTCAAAAGGCCTGGGATAATGCAGGTTGTTAACATGAAAGACAACAAAATCTTGCTTTGTCCTGGTCACTTCATAGGCATGGAAATGTTCTTGAAAGGTTACTGTACATAAAGGCAAAGTGAGCAGCAACAGTTTCTCGTGTATTATCAGAATCAACTCAATCTGGTAAAACAGAGGCATTTCAGACTCTACTTTGCCACAAATAACCAAATGTGGGCGGTAAACAAACCCAGTGTTTAGCCCAGTTCACCTTCATAACTTTTACACTACTGGGCACTTGCGTTGCCATTGCAATTTCAGAACCTCCTTTTACCATCTCTAAAGACACCATTTTTACTGGACCAATGTCTAACCGACTAAAAGTTGTTGAAGATTGCCAAATGTATGCCATATAATTCTGTTGTTTTTTTGGCCAGTGTTTTGGTGATATTTTTAAATAACTTTAGCTGTTTCTTGAAAAAATTGTGCTTACCTTCATAGCGCATGCACCAACTGTGAAGTACAGGTCCTATGTTCTGGATGCAGTGAGGATAATGGATATGATACATGGTGCTTTGGTAAAGGTTTTTTCTGGGGATACAACATCTTGAACAGTTTAAATATACACACAGACCTTGAGATAACATGGGAGACAATACAATGTTTACTATTTGTAGTAATAAAAGAAGTAGGCACCAATGTTGGTCAGTAGAGGTTACCAAATCTCCAAACATGAGAGGAACATTCCTCAATAAGCACCATGACTGAATTGCATTCAGTCCCAGATCATTAGACTCTCCACCTAAATTCACAGCCACTGGCCTATTGTTTCTCTCCATGAATCCATAGTCAAAACTTTGTATTCTCAAATTCAGCTGTCCCAATGTAACATGTTGTTCTTTAAAATAGGCAAACAATAAACTTCACTTCGTACTGGGTCACCCCTGTCAAAACGTCATGCATCACATCAAATGAGAAGTTCTCAGTTGTGTGAAAATATGACAGTGAATTCAATAAGCATGAACTCTTCACACCAAAAACATAAAGAAGAGATGGATTATGAGCAATTTCTTGACAATGAGCAGTGTAGGTGTCTTTGGTGCGCAACACTATTTTGGGAGAATCTTCAGAGAATTCAGTTTGAATGCAAGCTATGTACGCCTAAATTATCGCCAGTAACCTGTACCACACTGCCAGGAACATGACCACCGTATAGTGCAATATCAATACCATCATTCTCTAACACTAATGTCTCGAACAATAGGATCAAGAATTTCACTAAAACCATAACGTTTAAGATCTTGTGCATGAAATAAGTCGCAAAGGTGTATGTTGGCCAAAAAAGAATTCCATTTCAGAGAGAAGTTTCTTAAGGTAAAATATATTGCACCCAATTTATGAATACCTCACTTGGAACCGAGAGGATTTGCAACCTCAAAGTCATCATAGAACATTTGGATCTGCACTGTGTGCTTTTCAGTTGAAAACAGAGGGTGAGTCTTCAATAAAGATCCATCACAAATATCTCTGAGTCTTGAATCAGCAGTTTCTGAGTTTTTCAACATTTCTGCAATATGCTGACTTTTAAATATTGACACGAATGTTGATAAAATTGGAACATACATGAATCTATCTTGAACGACTGTCTGATCATACGTTCCAGCCTTTTTATTTCGCCTTGTGTCAAATCTTGAGCCAATTACACATTCAACTGGTTCTACAACCAAAATAACCTTGGAAATCAACTGGACTTGGATATCTAGATCGAAGACGTTTCACCTCTCATCCAAGAGGCTTCATCAGTTCTGACTGACTGGTGTTGAGTCGGAGATATTTATCCCCCTCGGTGTGGTTTCAGTCCTTAGAATATCCAAGTCCAGTTGATTTCCAAGGTTATTTCAGTTGCGGTTTACTATGACCTGGATGACTGAGAATCTGCACAGATAAACTGGTTCTACAGTTTCCCACTTGTCCGATAAAAATTTTGATCACTCATATTCTGTTTTAATAAGAACTGTGAAAGGATTCTCTAACCCCTCAAAACATGCTTCAACTTTCTTGCACATTTCGGTTTCTCTTTCATTATTAAATATATGCTTAATGACAGTTTCTTTAGCATGCTGCTGAATATCTTGAACAATCTCTTCCATAGAATTCACTACAGAATTCAGTACACTTTGGCCTACACCTGCTGCCTTTAGATCCAAAATTACAGCTGCACAACTATTGACAAGGTCTGCTGAAAATAATTCTGACTCAGCCTCTAAATTTTTATGAAGCACATCAACATCAGTAGCATTTACTTGTGTCAAGAACATTTTGACGAGGTGAAAAGTCACCTTCTGCAGAATCAAATGAACTGCTTACATTGCATTTGTTCAGGTGCTTTCTAAAGCCAGAAAAGCTACCAAAAGAACGTGAGCATCCAACTTGGCTACATTTAAGATAAAGAGTCCTGCCAGTACAGAGACCATGAATTACCTTAAGGTGCTTTACAAGGTTGTCTGGTCTACCACGGTCACTTTTGCAAAGAAAGCACTTCATAATTTTGATCTCAATGGCTACTAATGCACCATTCTTGCTCACAACTCTGCAACTCTGGGAGTTTCCTTTGTTTCCCCAACATCTATGTTGTAAATGGTTGTTTGCAGAAAAGTGAAAAAGTTGGTCAGGGAAGAACAATATGATGTAGCAAAGACATAATGGGCCTTAAACAGTTCATCAAGGGCTCCCACTGAACCAGTCGCCTTACATGGAAGTGCATGCTTGTCAATCACAATGAAGAAGGCATGAATGCTTCTTCTTGTGGGTCCCTGAGCAAGAAGGTAGGGCTGACTGCTTTCGGTGATGTTGTCTAGATGCTGCTGTACGCTAGTTCCAGCCTACAACAACACATTCAACAGCAGTATTTAGTGACCAATTCCTTACAATAGATCAGAACACCTCACTGTGCATGAAATGGAGGTGATGGAAAGTATATTTTAACATTTTAATTAATTAACTTTTTAATATACCTTTATAAATTTGATGAGGTTTTTGGCAGCTTGAGATACAGACATCTTTCCTGGTCTCTTTCGTCCTTGCGCTGATGGTGGTAGCAGATGAAGCAGCAGCAAGATAGCAGACATGTCACTGTCCCAGCCTACAGATAAACAAACATCAGATTAACATTATGCCATAAATACATTACATTGGCAGAATTACCTATATAACCAACAATGGTGATTAAAAACAGTCACAGTCATACTATTCTCAACTTCAGCAGATGACTCAGAATTGCACATTAATTGCAAGAGCTCTGTGGTGGGTACCAGTCCATGGCTTTCTTTAAAACTTTTGCTTTGAGACTGGTGGGCCACTTCTCCAAGACTTTGTTGGCAGTGACCTCACCAAAAAGGTGTCTGAAATCTGTAATGCAAAAATACAAAAAGGAGTGATGAGTGACACTGCATGCATATTTTAGTGATTTAATGAAGTTGTCTTACCAGTCCTGGTGTGTCCAGAAACCGCAGGAAGACTGAGACGACATCTGCTTCTTTCTTTTCATCTTTGACCATTGAATGACGATACATGAAGGTAGCTTTCATCTTCTCACGGATAGTGTCTTCATCAGCAGAACGCCTCAAAACAGCAATAGCTGCTTCCACATCCTCATTTGATAACACTGTGCCAGCGATGAAGGGTCTGGAACGACCATGGCCTGGCCCACCAACTTAAGAAAAAAAAACACAATTTTATTGACTCCTGTCTACAAATTCCATCAATATCATAAATAACTGATAAGTAAACTTACCTTTGGTAGATTTGCTAACTGAGACACTTCTTTCCTGTGCAGTTTTTCTTTGAATGGTCTTCAACCGCCATGCAAGGTATCCCGAACTGCTTTCTGGATCGAAGTAATGCTCCTATGTAATTAAATACATGCAGATTGACTATGCCATCAACATTTCTGATGGCAATTATGTGTTTAATGTCACAAGGACCTTTTTTACTTACATATCCATGTTGTGAATATGGGTCTTCCAGATATGGAAACAGCGCAACTATCCCCTGTGCATACATCACTCTTATGGTGTCCTATTGCATAAATTCAAAGATGACGTCACTTAATTGGCATTGGACCTCAATTAAAAATAATCCAATACTAACAATATTTCTTTTTTTCTTATACTCTACATGTATAATTTTTACCCATGTGTTTCTGTCATCTCAGCAGCAAGTATGTTTATCATCTTTCTTCTAGTTGCATCTGTCAGAGATTTGGTTTTTGCATACTCTTGCATGATGTGTTCACCGCTGGGCTTTGTTGTTAAGATATTTCCAATTAACTTAAATTGAAATAAAATATGAAATCAGAAAATTTGAAACAATAAATAAGACAAGAAAATGATTACATAAAACCGGGCAATTATGTGTTTAATATCTTAAGGACCTTTTTTACTTACATTCTGTTCAAATAAATGAAGAGGAAAGAAAATAACCCAAGAAAACAGTTGTACAAAGAGTTACCTATTAATGTGCTTCTGAACTGGTGTTTTTATATAAAATACAAACATTACTTACTTGCAGTATGAAGACATAACTGTTTTCTGTTAACAACAAGGCACAACTTTAGGTGATAAACTTGAGTCATGATTAACAAATCTGTGAAATAATTTAGTGGGGCAGCATGGTGGTGCGGTGGGTAGCGCCGTTGTCTCACAGCGAGCAGATCACGGGTTTGCGACCTTTCAGAGAGTTTGCATATTCTCCCCATGCTTGGGTGGGTTCCCTCCGGGTACTCCGGCTTCCTCCCACAGTCCAAAGACATGCAGCTTAGGTTAACTGGTGTCTTTAAATTGCCCGTAGGAGAGAGTGTGTGTGGTTGTTCATCTGAGTGTTGGCCCTGTGATAGACCGGCAACCTGTAGCAAAATATGCTGCCACTCAAGTGACATTTTTTCCAGGGACGTCCCCGTTGCAGTCATCAAATTCGAAATGAGTGAATATTTGCAAAAAACTAAAGTTTATCAGTTTGCACATTGTCTTTGGGGTGTATTCAATTAAATATGTGTCAAATTGCACATTGTCTTTGGGGTGTATTCAATTAAATATGTGTCAAAAAGTCATTGTAATGTTTTTAATTTACATTTTACACAATGTTCTAACTTCACTGGAATTTGGGTTTGTACTTTGCAAACTGATTAAAAGGCCCTTTAGGCTTTCATGTGCCTGTACCAATACAGTACTCCAAAACCACATAAGATTTTACAGCTGAAACCATTTACTTTCCTGAGTTTTACATAAAGTGAGTATTTCAAAATTTAATATTGACAACACAAGAATGGTATAAATATTTTAACCTTAAAGGTCTTGGGCTATTTTGAACCAGAACTCAAATTCCCATCTCATCTGTAAACATGTTCTGCATTTTATGGATTGCTCACACTTCGTTTCCTTTAAACCTGAAATCAATGATAGCTGTCTGACACCGATGCCCCGCTACAAGTTTCAAACTCCAAGCAGCATTTTCCTTGAACTGCTGCTTCGAAGCTTGCTTTGGTGCGGAAAAAGATGTGTGACTTATGACTCTGAAGCAGAAGCTGTATTTGTAATGGAAAAATATTTTCTCAATAAAAATCTCTGAATCTCCATCCCACTTACATAATCACACCCTGCCCTAGTTACACAAGCACACCCTACCACATCCTGCTTCCCCAAGCATGGCTTCTCCCAAGTTTATAAAATCAACCAACCTTTAAAAAAAAAAAAAAAAAAAAAAATTAAAAAAATTCCTAGTTACACTGATCACATAATTATTAAGACATTGTTTTGCTGTCTCTTATTTCGCCACTAGATGTCACTGAAACGAATCTTTCAATGAATGAACCCATTTTCAAGGCAACTGATGAAGTGGTTCAATACTAGTTCATTGCTTCATCACTACCTGAAAGCAAAAATATAAAAACTGCAGAGCTCCCAAATACAGTTAACACAGAGCTCCTAAGATGTTTCAGTAATTGGCTAGGTCCTAATGTCCTGTGGCCTTTTCTACGTTCTAAACACTAACACCTTAATTGCTTGACCAAAAAAAAAAAAAAAAAAAAAAAAAAAAATCACACACAAAAGTCTGTTAATATGAAATCATTTTACTGAACACAGACCTTCTATTTTCTGTAAATACTTAGATACCAAATTCAAACTTCATATTTTGGTCTGAGGCACATCAGTATTAGTCAACATGAACTCCCCTGAAATCTAAAAGTAAGACTTGCAGCACACTGGCTGTCACACAAATATACTTGAGCTAATTTTGCCAAACTGTCACATTTATGGGTGTCTTTATTTTGATTTTACACCTTGACAAAAGTCTCCCATTATAGGCTTGAGGGAAGTTGAATATTCACAAATACTGGCTGGACTATTTTAAACCACTGCAGTTAAGACAGGAATTCTATGCTTCAGCACCTGGTCATATCCTGCATATTACCTGTAGTCTTCAATGTTATTTAATTTAAACTACCATTTAAATTGCAGAAGAATAAAGAGAATTTACTAAAGAACACATCTGTAGCCAAGTCTCACCATCACATACACTGCTCAGTCTCTTTAGAGTGCCCAAACATGTCAGCCATTCAGTGCTGCAACATTTGCTTTAGCATAACCTCTGCCATCATACCACCAACTTTGCCAATATGTTTACTGAGGACAAGAGAAAGTTGGCTTATTTCTAATATTAGTTACATTTAACAAATCCTTGGAGGTCTTCCAGGAACTTTATGTACTCCTGATGTTCAAGGGCGGTGCTCAGCTCCATCAGTTCATCTGCAAAGGTGTTGTCGACCCCACGGTCAGCCAGGTAGTCCATCAGGTGATCATACAGGGCCTGTAACACAACACAGCAATGAATTAGTCATAGGTTAAAATGATGTCTATCCTAAGCCTCATTAACTGTTATGCACATTCAATTATTTGTTTTTTACAGCAGGGGTGGCCAATTCCAGTCCTCGAGGGATGGAAAATACCATCTTAGATGAAAGTGAATTGGTATTTTCCAGCTTCTGACTGGCAGAACACACCTGAGCCAGGTAATCAGCAGCAGGTCAGGCAGGGATAGTTGGAAAACAAGCAGGACAGCGGCCCTCGAGGACTGGAATTGGCCACCCCTGGTTTACGGTCTCAAATCTTACCCAGTCAAGAGAGTCCGTGTTGAGTGTATAGCTGGTCTCTTTCCACTCTGAATCTCCCTCAGGCTGGAAACTGACCTCACGAATGGTAAAGATGTCGCTCTCCTCTTCTCCGTCACCATGACTTATCTACAAAATGTAAATTCAACTTTTCTATTTAACTTCACAAGTTAAACCTCTGGGAGGAAAGCCAGAGACCCGCTGCTGCTAACAATACTATGAATGCAGCTTACCTCATCCTCAGGAAAATGGCAGTCAAACACCAGGGAATGTTTTGCAGCCTTTTTCGTTATTTCAACAACAAAGTTGGGTGTTGACACAATTTCTGGCTGTAAGCAGAAACAGAGTTGTAACAATTTTGCCATTAATAAATTTCCTTTCTCAACAATTTTCCAGGTTAATGTTGTAATGGCCACTTACAAATATCTTTGATCTGATAATCAGGTGACTGACAGGTGTGTTGGAACTCACCTCTTCTTCTGCTGGCTTCTGCTGTCCTTGTTCAACCTCTTCCTCAAAGTTAGGAGGAATGCTGTTATTCACATTGAATGTGACACTGACTCTATCAAAAGAAGACACATAATAAGATCTTTTGTGTATGCTGTAGTCTTAAAACCATTAGGTTAGCTATGGTATGACCAACTGCTCTGGTCTTACTTTTCTCCGGAAACATTTCTTGTGAGTTTAGCCTCCGTGCCATTCATCTCCAGTTCCCATCCTCCAGACATCTTTGGAAGAGTCTGGCTTTTCTGGAGCTTCTTTTCTTCTTTTATTTCATCAGACAAGAAATCGCCAAATGCTTTGTCGCCTGTTTAGAAGATGCATAGTTATATGACAACATATTTCAAGGTGAAGGCTAATCCGTGAGTGCCGATTGCCTAACCTATAATCAAAAAAGTTCTAAAATGGTTGTGTTCATGGAGCAAATGTCTTTTAATTGAACGACATTTTGACACGAGATTTTTTATTTTTTACTATTTTAGAGTACATCAAATCTAGCTGTGACCATACAATGAAGTTAGTGCGTGACCCTAGCTAGCAATCAAGGACTTACAAATCAAACGTTACCTTCTGTGTGCAGTCCCCCACATCCACACGATACAGATGGATTCAATGCTTTTGAACTAAACAATTTTGGTCTGTATGTTGACGAGGCTCCGTTGTTATTCAGCATCCAGAGAGAGCGGGTGAAGGGCCGAATTGTTGCCGAACTTGGAGAACACAGGGTCGCACAGGCGAGCGGCACAGCTCGGGCTGTGGACGTGGTAGATGAAGAAATACGGACAGCGGCTCCCACCGCACGGACAACGGACTTTAACATGACTATATCAGAGTATTAAACAGTGTAATAACAGAATAACTTAGTCTGATGCCACACAATCACTTGCTAGCCGTCTGTGATTACTCCTGCCGCTGCCTCTTATGGAAGATTACAAAAAAAAACACGTGTGGAAGAACACACTGAACTGTCGTAATTTTGACCTTTGAACCGGAAATAATACTTTAGAGGGAACAAATCTAATAAAATTGACTGTATCTCTAAGATTCTCAAACACAATATAAAATTTTATGTTTATATCGTGTAAACTGTTCTAATCTAATGACGTGACATATTTTAAAAGGTCTAGGTAATGGTATTCAGACCCTAATAGCACCCCCTGTGGCATAATGGAGCTGCTTTAGCTTTGAGCAAAGTTTTGACCTCAGTAATGACTGAAAGGTCATGGATTTTGTATCTCTTTGAAGCATTACTTGTTCATCATTCCTACATATGATAGAAAATAGATGCAACATCTTTTCACAAGAGACGAATGGATGTGGAAACCCAAAAAGGGACTCATTACAACTTTGACAATCTGCCACTGTCTAGTGTAAGTAGTATGGTTCCTGGGGCCAACAGGAAGGTTTCTGGGACATGGACAGTCTGGAGGGAAGGGAAAGGTTGTATCCCTCAAGGGAAAGCACGTTTCAGTGTAAAAAGATGAATCCATTGCATCATTCAGACATGAAACTTTGCTGCCAGAAGATGGAGCTGTTTTCCAACAAGTAACCCAGAGCTCCAGTTCACTGCACACAGTGGACAGCTTGAGATAGGTTTTACTTGGTTTTCCAATGTTCATATTAGAGGTTCCCTGAAAGACTAGTGGTTAGGGCACTGTGCTCTCGCCGCTGCGGCCCGGGTTCGGGTCAGGGTTGCGTCAGGAAGGGCATCTGGAATAAAACAAGTGCCGAATGTCAACATATTCGCTGTGGCGACCCCTAACAGGATAAAGCCGAAAGTGATGTCGTGTATAGAATTAATTCACAGGGAGAATCACTGCAGTGCCAATCATCATTTATTGAACAATATATTGTAATGTGAATTCAGAGGGAGAGAAACAGAATCACCTGGAGTTTTGGATCTCTGCAGAGTTTGGAGTCTTTGTCTGTCTTCTGAAGTCCCCCCAAATGCACCCACACGCTCGTCAAGTCTGAGTCTGTCTTATCAGCCTTGCAGCTGATTATATAGCTCTCCTACTTCTTGAACCTCCTGCATCATGTCAATCTGGACATCCAGCGGGCCCCCTCCCGCGGTTCTGGGAAGCCCTTAGAATTACTAGGAAACAGGATGCTGGACCCCATGTTTATGCAGAGGATCCTCACAAAAGTTTATCTCTGACCATACTTAGCCCTGTGGTGGTTAGCAGTAAATCAGACTCCAGACAAAATATGTAACCAAACAGCATGTAGCTCACATTTGGTATCAGCTTGTGTGAGTGTGTGTGTCTGTGTGTGTTGAGTGGTCATTAAGTTCATGTGAGTTGAGTTTATGTAAGTAATCAAAATATTCCCTGTTTACTTAGAATGTAGCTAACACTGGCCTAATAAGTATAAACTATATTAAGTTTGCTTTTACCACTACAGTGACATTCATTTACAATATTCAACCTAGACAAGTTTGTGATGTGGATACTTGAATTTTTATTTGTCCTAATAACACAAATAAGTAAAATAAATGAATAAGTCAACAAATATTAAACATCTTCTTCTTTTGGCTGTTCCCGTTAGGGGTCGCCACAGTGAATCATCTGTTTCCACCCTTGATGTAGCCCCACCTCCACCTTGAACTCCTCTGTCTGACCTACAGCACATCTCACTACTGTCTGTAGTGAGACAGTGTACTCCTCTCATACATATCCTGAACTACTCTGACGTACTTCTCTGCCACTCCTGACATCCTCATACAGTACCATAGCTCCTCTCTCGGCACTGTCGTACACTTTCTCTAAATCCACAAAGACACAATGCGGCTCCTTCCGACCATCTCTATACTTCTTCATTAACATTCTCAGAGCAAAAATTGCATCAGTAGTGCTCTTTCTGG